ACACACACACACACACACACACACACACACACACCACTTGTAGGGCAATTGTTCAACAACATTACACCTGAGAAGTGGGATGAGTTTCTGTCAGGTTGCCCAGTCGACGTTACCACAGAACAGCTCTCTAATTTTGTAGGAAACATGGTGGACCTGTGCTCGCAGTCGACAACTGCAGATCTGAGGTCTTCCCAGAGCACCCCTGCACTCGACGTCTCCTCTGTCACTGCCACTGCTGGCAGAAAAACAGTCAAGCCAAGGCAGACGGCTCTTGAAATTGCATGTGGATGTTGGTTCAAGAATAAACTCAAAAACCTGTGGATGTGCTGCAGGCAACAGTCAAGTCCTGCCAGCCCCATAGATGCAGTTGACCGTGCCATAGGATATCCAATCAGTGTACCAACTTGGGAATTTCCTATGGATTACGCCGTACACTTAGACATTTTGATAGTGTCATTTTACAGGCCAAAGAAAAAGCAGTGCTCCTCCTGGGTGAAACTTTCAAGGTATAAATGTTTGACAAACTCTGACCTGAAGTGGAGTCTAAAGAAATAAAAATCACTGAAGACAATATCGAAAATGTATAAACAGATATTACAATAATCTATAATTATGTGGATATGCATATTATACAGTTTTTATTGAAATATAAGTCCCCCAGAAAGGCAGGAAAAATCCCCTGTAACTTACTTTAAAATGAAATATGTTCCCTAAAACGGTAGCCAGAGGTACAGACCCAATGGCACCCTTAGCCAGTTAGCTAGCAGCTATGACCAGCACTACTTATACTCCCGAACACTATCGTCTACACTGTATACCCCACTTACTGATTTTGTTGCATCAGTCTGCGTCTCCCAATTAATTTCCGTTTCTCCTGCACCGCTTAGATGGCAAATTTTTTTTTAAATTGACTGATTTTTGTTGTCATGGTCTGTGAGTTGAATAAATACGTTTTATTTGTTATTCCGTTTAAATCTGTGCTGTCATGTAACCGGCTCTCCAAACACTCATGAGAACAAACTGATTTCAAGGGGGGGGGAATGCTCAAATTTTAAAAACTTTTTCCATGCATTAGCTCCTTAGTCATTTTATGACAAGATGGATGGTGTCATTATATTTTAGTATACTTTTGAACTGAGGAGAATAAAGAGTATTTTACTTACCAATGTTGTGTACTAAGCACAAATTATTTTAAAAAGTTTCAATTTGAGTATCAATTTAAAATTTGCCAAACTTTTTGAGCAAATGTTGTATTAGGTTATAATTGTAAGGTTAAGGATATAAAGAAGTACATTTAATGAGTTACAGTGAAAGGAATTGCCTGTAATATAAACAGAACTTTGGATTTTTCTATTGACGGAAAATTTGTGTTAATGATACAAAAAAAACCAAAACCATACTGAATAAATGGAATTTTCTGTTTTATAGCTGAAGGTAATGTCCATAAATAGTGCAGAGTATACTGTAAATGTACAGAATTTTCCATTTTATCATTTATGGAAAAGTCTGTTAACTTCCTTAAACTGAACAAACAAACATAAGAAAAATCATTCAAACTTCCGGGGTATGTGCTGTTTTAGCAACACTTTGGTTCACTATTGCATGATGTAGAAGGCCTTGATTTTATTTAAGTTTTTGTTGAAATTCAAGCAATTCAAGTATTTAAAAGTGTAAAAAGTGAGTTCAAGTGTGAATCAAAGTAAAATAAAATTTCAGGTCAAAACAACAAAAATCTATCTATATCTAAAGTTCCTGGGCTAAAACAATTCATCACTGAAATTATGTTCGCTGCTCTCCTGGCAAACACACTGTGCTGCTCCACTTCTGATATATTAAGGAGACAATACTCTATTTTGGGGAGGCTAATGGATAGAAAAGGTGAAAAGAAGAGCAGTAACTAAGGAAGACCGGCCAACAAGGACACAGTGGCTTCTTGTTTAGACATAAACTTTACTTTATATGATGCTATTGCTCCACCTGCCACAGCCAGCCAGCAGGTACCATCAGAGAGATTAATTTAATCTGAAAGTGGTTTTCCAAATAAGGTTAATACAGTCCAACCTTGATACAAACACACACAAAAAAAAAAAAAAACAAAAAAAAAAAACCCCCACACACACACACACACACACACAGCGCAACATTTTGTATTTAAAATATAATAAATGTATAATAAGGACAATGACAAATTAAAAACAGAAATTTATTTTAGTATCAGAAAAAAAAAAAAGATATTGCAAGCTTTCCCCTAAACAGTTACATAAAATATATAAAATCATTTATTTTTCACTTCACCATTTATTCACAAAAGAACCTGAAAGACTTTTATCTGGCACATTTAAAAAAAACAAAAACAAAACAGGAAAATAGGATAGTAAACTTTGAAATATTCACGCTGTCAGTCATAAACAACTGTTCGAATTTGCAGTTAAAACTTGGTTTTTGGGTATACATTTTAGAAGGCATGGCCAAAGGGGGTGGGGGGGGAGCAGCAGCATTTTCATCTTTGATTTGCAAGTCAAAATAGTTTTACAACAGGTGTTGCTTGATGCCAGAAGTGTAGATTAATTTAATATCAACTGGAGTGAGAATCTGCAGTATTAGAGCAAATATTTTGTATATTGGGGCAACATTCACCAGACATCCCACAGCTCAGCCGCTTGCTGAATGTAACAGAATATGACATGCAAACCCAAAGTTCACACATTCAAAGGCGATTTTACCCACATACCCCCGTTTTGCCTTTTCAAAAATGAGCTGCATATCCTTGGATAATTTATAACAGTTTAGTTCATAGTACTCACAGCATAGAAGAACAAATATGCATTAAAAAAAATTCCTTGTAAAAGAGGAGAAGAGTTAACTGGATATAGATCTAAAACTAAATGGATAAGCCTTCAAGTCATTCCATTGTGGCTATGAAGAATTAAGCAGCAGATAACTCGAACTCGAACCCTAGACATATTAAAGTAAAACTACGTGCATGGAAAACCCTACAGTGTTGATGCTGAAAACACAAAAATGATCCAGCATCTATGAAAATGCAATGTGCGCAAATTGCGGTTCAGGTGATTTGCATGAAACCCAAGCTGCAGCTCCAACTAAATGAAACCTGTTGTTAGCAATACACGTATGAATCAAACGTGCAACATTCACACTTCAGGTTTCACCCCTTTAAAGTGCTCAAAGTTTCCCGGGGGGGGGGGAGAACTGTGCTGCAAAAAATAAAAACAACACACGTACACAGAGCAGAACAAGGAAGGAAGAAGGCAATAGCTTGTGGTAAGTTTAAAGAATCTCGTGGTTAAAGTCAGGCAACCAGACCAAAACTATAGTCTATAATAATGGCTTTAACTTATTAAATGATAGTAACAAAATTGCAAAACAATTCTTTTTAGCGGTTAAATGTAAGCCATGAAGACTTTAACATGCATTTTGAACCTGACAACCAGTTTTTGCTCTTAGTGCGTCATCCCTCATCTTTAATATAAAGCTTTTTTTAAAACATCAAACACAAAGATTTACAAAAATGCTACAATGAAAATCAACTGGACTTTCTTTCCCACTGCTGTCTTTTCTTGACCATTTCATGGCTTGAACAACAAGATGTTATGTTAATCAAGTTATCAACAGCAAGCTGATCATGTAGAGCCTTTGACACAGGGGAGGCAGATAAAAGTGCATTGATAGTTTGTAAAACTAAGGAATAAAACAAGAAGAGATACCTGGGCAGTTATGAGAAGCTGAAGTGTTATGTTCACGATTAAAAGTCCACCTTCTTCTAGCTTCTCAGTTGTCTTTATCCAGTTTCCGCAGTTTTGTATTTAAAAAGGAGCTCTTTGCTTTGAAGCTCATTGGCTAGTTATAAGCCGTTTAATCCAACACCACCTCAAATAGTGATGTTTATTGCACATCTGGATCAGTCTTTAAATAGCAGCAGGAAAAGCTGTTGCTTTGTGTGATTAAGGAGAATATATATATTTTTTTTTTAACGTGACATGACACCAATTTTTATAAAAGACTTTGCAGGACAAGATGTCACCCAGTTATTTGTGGTAGATGAGGAGGAAGATAATGACACCAGTCAGAAGCACCATCATCATCACCACAGATGTTAGGAGTAAGGCACGACACACCGGGTGTCTCGTCAGTCTGAACACAGTGCCGCGTGAATGACCGTGACCTTCTGCGTTCCCACTGGGAATGCCCACGTCCAGAGAGCGGTGGATGGATCTCAGAGACGTTAGCGACTGCCGAGGCCACCGACGTTGTCCGTCAGTTGACCTTAAAAACAAAAATTAAATAAATTCAAACTAAATGTTTTATGCATTTATTTAAATAATTTAGTTCTTCGCAGTTACCAGTGCAAAAATATTTAGAAAAAAAATACACAATCCATCTATACACACACCTTTTGCTGATTAATAACTGATATATTGCTCCGACCCAATTTCACAGCTCTACTATCACCAGTAAAATACATTTCAGATAAACAGCGCGACTTGTTGATTTCACTCCAAAACAACATTAAGATTAATATGAGTATTAAAATATTCCTGCTATTCAGTTTTTCCTTTGCAATACTGGGGAAATCTAATAAGAAAATATTTGAACTTTCAAAGAACCACTTGGACAAAAAGGCAAGAAGAAGGCTTTCACCCTCACTGACCTTTTGACCTCCAGCTTCCCTTTGCTGCGGAGGAAACGGATGCTGTAGACTCTCTGCATAGCAGCTGGAAGGTAAGACAAAACATCTGAGTCTGTGGCCAGTTTTGGCAGGCCGAGGGAAGGCAAGGGTGTAAAGCTGCGGCACAGCGGACACTGAATGGCGTTGGGCTCGGCCGACTTGACGTTCATGCGAGCCAGGCACTCCAGACAGAATGTATGCTTGCACTGCAGCATCTTGGGGCAGCGGAAGACATTGTTGAATTGACTGAAGCAGATGGCACACTCCAAGTCTGGACAGTTTTCCTCAGAGCACTGAGTTGGGAGGGGAATGGGATGGAGGTCTGTGGAGGGGATGATCACAGAGATCTGATATGAAGACGGGGTGCCAAACGCAGAGTAGGGATTTGCTGTGAAACCAGGTTCTGGGGTAGAGACTGAAGCTAGATCAGACTGAGACCTGGCTCCAACACTGAAGTCTGGATTTGAAGCTGGAAGCGAGAATGTAGAACTTGGCGATCGGACCAGGGTTTGGGGACCTTCTTGGTCTGATGAGGCCTCGTGTGGAGGAATGTTGTGGCCTGAAACTGTAGCAGAACTATTATCTGGGTGGATGACTGGAGAAGACTGATCGCACGATGGAGCTAAAGCCAATTCTTGGGGTGAACTTTGAGAGCGAGATGCTGCGGCACCACTCAAATGAGAGTCAAGATATTCATTTCCGTAGGGATTCATGTCTCATGTGCTGACACGCTGACAAGCTGACAACACAGGAACAACAAAGCTGCAACGAGATGAAGCTTGAGCCTTCAGCAGTAACCAGGGACGAGACGCATCAGTTATGGATTAACAGACTGGACAGAGGGATGCTGCTGCTCCCTAATCTTCAGATCATCACACCCTTTCCACACTCTAAAAAGGAAACACACTGTCAATAACCAAAACTACCACTATTATATATAAATCTTATTGCCTCAATTGAATCTAAACACTGACAAATCCACTGAACAGCTACCCTGAGGTACCGTCCCTACACACTGCTCCCCGGGCACCCAGTGGCTGCCCATTGCTTCACTGAGTGAATGGGTTAAATGCAGAGAGGAATTTCCCCACAGGGATCAATAAAGTATACATCATTATTATTATCATTATCAATATCAATATCAATAATAATAATAAACTGAAAGACCAACTGTGACCCAAGAAGCGAGGTTAACACAATATTTATGTAAACACAGGTATCGAGGGGCATAAATGTGTACTGGATACTATTGTTTAAATACTGCAATCTGAAGAGGCAGAAGTAGCTTACGCATCATATTTATGGCTGTTGTGGGCACTTAACAATTTTGCTCATCTATATCAGTGCTGCTGCTGGTGAAGCAGACACAAGAGTGCTTCTCCTTAAAACATCAGATCTGCATAAAACTATATTCAACTATTTTAAAACTACCAATTTCCAAGGGCCTGTGCATAAAAAAAAATACGCCACTTTCTTAGAAACTACAGAAAAGGACAAACTGACAGTTTGCGAATTCAAAATGCAACAAAAAGCACCAAAAAGCACAAAAGCTTTTCACTGAAGCCATTCCAGCTTTGCAGGCAAAGCACACTTCTACATTCACATTCATGCTGTCTCAAACACAAAGTCCACATACACTTCTCTACCAAACTTTTGACCACACGTTTGATCTTTAAGACCTCAGTCTGAAATTGACACAAATGACTTTAAAATATACATATAGGGTGCTCAAGACACCTGGAATAGTTTTTAATTTTCAAAACTAAGGATTTCTAGCAGTCGGCATTAAAAAAACAAACAAAGAAAGAAAGCGCTTACCGGTACCACCTCCTGTGGTTCTCTCACATCAGCTCTGTATTAAACTGGCAACATGTTTCCACTGGTTTGCATAGCTTTACGTAAAACTGAATTACAGTCTGTGTTTTAATAAACAACATGGTGCTAGAGCCACGTTCCACAGAGTGTCCAACTGCACAGGAATTTGCATTGTCCGGTTTATTTACAAAAGGCAAATGTCATGCAAAATAACACCGCGGCCTGCTCGCTGTGACAGTCTAAAGCACACGGAGCAGGAATCACCTCAGATGCTCTAACGTGTAACTGAACTCAAACTTTTACATGAGTCATCCTCTATGAGGTTAGCATTTTTTCGTATTTACATAAAGACTGGCATTTCCTAAAAGAGTGGACACAAATATGAATGCGTCAAAAAAAAGTCAGTCTGTGTGGCGTTTTTAAAATTAACCCCATAAGGAGTTCATCAATATGGATACATATAAATAATTTTGCGACATTTCAGATGTTTTCTTATATTGCAGTAGGCCAAGTTTTCAAGATGGAAACGATGATCCACAACAAGGTGTTAGGTGAAGAGTTAAGTGGGGCATAAAGCTAGCTCGGAAAACCAAAACAAAACTTGAATCTTCATCAACAACAAAATCAACACATTACACTCTTTAACCATAAAGAGGATAAAACGATGACACCATTTACTTCATGTAAAACAGCTGGAGTGGGAATTAAAAGACAGCAAAGATCAGAAACGATCAGTTCTTTCGTCACAACTTTACACAACACAAAGCCGAATTCGACTTAAACCTCTCTCGATGTGTAAAACCTCTACGACAAGTCGTTCTGCCCAGTGTATGCGCTGGTGTATACAACAAACGTAAAATTGTTTGATTTATGAGTGAGGTGTGGTGAGCGTGCAGAGAAAACTGCTCTTACCGCTCATAATCATCGCTATTTGCAGCCTTTTCTTGCCCCACGCTTCACCATTATGAGTCGGTGCCTCGGATAAAACGACCCTTCGGGTTTAACTGTAACTGCCAAAGTTGGTTTTGACTTCTGTCCAGCTCAACTTCTCGCTTTCGTATTTGAATGAAAGGCGGAAACGGGTTTAGTCAAATCACCCACTGGCCCAACACTCCGGCTAGGCTGTTTAAAAGCTCATACACACCTGAACACAGTGATGCTGATTAAAGGATCAACGGAGAGGAGAAATTTTCCACCTGGTTTCACACCAAGTTTCAGCTTCCGCTCAAACCCATCACTTGGAAATCAGTGTATTTCATTTCCTCCATCGTTTCCAGGTATTCATTAAAGCGAGTTTTACTACCCACCTTCGTAAATGTCATCATCTTTATTCACTGTAATATTTAACTTTTGGGTGACAGCACAAAGACAGAGGGAGGAGAGGAGAGAGCAAAGAAAGACAGAGCAAAAAGAAGCGGGTAAGAGTCGACATGTAGTCAAATTCTCCAATTATTATAAAGCTGTAGCTTCTATTTCACCCACATTCAATTCTGATGATTTCACATAACTTAGCAGTGTTTTGTCCTGTTGTCAACTGTGGATCCCCCACTTGCTCTTATGATCATAAGATTATATTTGTTATTTTCTAGTTTGTAGCTGAGTGAGGAGGATGAATGGAATGAATGGAATACTGAAGCTAGCTGGAAAAACAAGAACTAATTTTCACAATGTAGTTTTTCATGCGTTTCATGGATGCTTTGCGTGCTTTGCAGTAGCACACTTAAAAAAATGCCAGTGGACACTGCAAACAGAGCATATTGATATGGATGGCAGCATTTAACAGGATTAACTATAAACAGGATGGCTGCCACTACATTGATGCCACGGACTACAAATCTGTTCTCCATGTGTGAAACTGTGGCACATGATGCTCTGTGCTGAGTCTGTGCAGTAAAGGGAGGGTTTGCATCAATTCAAAAACTTTAATATGAAACAACTCTGTTACCAGTTTGCTTCGTGTGCAGGTCTGTGGAGTGGCAGGGTGATTTTCCAGTGTCTGTACTGAATAATGTTACTTTAAGTGCTTGATAATTTAGTGGACTGCCTCTATGTGATCTCATCTCTCGTCTTATCTGCTTTGCCACAAATGGTTCTTTAAGTTTTTCCTCTGGTTTGACAACTAAAAGCTCCACCCTAAAACAGGTGGATTAGATTGAAATCTGATCATTCGCTATGAATTATTCTTAGACGCTAAAATATCCAACTAATTATGTTGCTTTTCAATGTAACATTGTGATATTTACCCAATTGAATTGAGGTTTGCAAATGTGAAAAGGGTTGATTACATTTGCAAACCACATTTCATTAGTATTAATGACAAGGTACATAGTGTGTTTGGTGACTGACATAAGGAGAAGGATTCATGTAGTATCGCCCACTATCACAACTCATCTATTCTACTTTAAAACTTTTAGAGAAAAGATGTGAGGGCCACTTTTCAGATTCAATGTATAAAATCTATAGTGCTGTTGAATGTTATGGAACTGAGTGACACTGAATGACAATGAGGGGAACCATTATTTTGATTTAGAGAGGGGACTGTCCCTTTGAATGATGCTCTGCAGCTTTAGTTAACTACCTTTGTTTTGGGGTTTTTATTGTAACGTCTCAGACAGTGTATGTTGGCAGGAGCTCTCTGTGGTAATTTATTAAAACAAATGGAAAAAAGCAAGCAAAACCAGAAAGTAGGCAGAGATCAAGGTTCACAAAAATGTCATGACATCAGAACAGGTTAAAAAATCAGCAGGTTAAGGAACATTTGAGGCGGTTACGATAAAACGGTTGTTGTAGACTTTCTTATGTTCCAATTATGTGCAAGTATAACTGCAGTGGAAGAAAACTCCAGCTATAGTTTCACTTTGCAGCATTTTTATTACTTACTATTAACTTACTGAGAAAGTAGTGCAACGTATTAATAACAAAAACAAGTAAAGAGTGTAACGATGAAGTATGTTGATCTTTCAAATCTTTTTATTGCAGTAAAAACGTTTTAAGGTACAAAACAACATGAAGGAGATATCAGAAAGAGCAGTGCTAAGTTGATTTTTGTCATGTCTGAGAAACAATTGTCAAAAATCCCTTATGTTACACTCAAGGCAGCAGATGCAGTAATAATAAAAATAAACTTATAAATGCTGGAATTTATATGTATGGCTACCATTTATTTTTTTTAATATACCACTTGGAAAAGGTGTTTTGGACTGCGACTACCCTTAATTAATTTATTATGGATCAATAAAACAGACAAAACTCTGTTAAATTATGTTTAACTGTTTATTTAAACAAGATTCTTCCCTCTTCCTAATTAAAGATGCTGTCCAAAATAAAAAGCCATGCTTGTGACACGTGCACAAGCATCTAAGAGCTCTGGAGGATTTGCATTTTATTTATTTACTAGCTGTCAGAAAAAATGGGAAGTTGGATCTAATGTAATGAAATTAGAAACATCTGACTCAAAGCTCGACTTGCTCTGTTGATTTTGACTTTGGGCTAAAGGTCAATTGCAGTATCATTTTCCAAAACAACAGAAAATGTTTTTTCCATTTATACCAACTCTGAACTGTTTCTATAAAGAATGCCTGTGCTGTAAATAATGTAAATAATAACTGTGATATAAACCAGTTTCACCACACTCACTTCCAGCATTAATTTCTGTGTGACTTTGTAGTTTATTCTAAAGTCACAATGTATGAAGCCTTTAAAAAGTATCGTTGGGGGTTAAATTTTACAGAGTCAACATTCACAACCAGACAAGGAGCAAAAAGGGGAAATTGGACATTAAACATCATTAATTTACAAATACCAAACCAGTTTTGGACCACTGTTTAAGCTTTCAGTGATCATTAATATAACAAATAATCAAAAATCACTGTATAAAATAACATTTTTCCTTTTTGAACTTAAAACATCTGCAATCAGCTTTGATTTGGTTTTTTTAACAGCTTTATCTTTGATCAAACATTCTTAGTTGCATAAAATAAGAAAAGTAAGAAAATATCATTTTATCTGAATAATAAGGCAGCATGTGTGTTTTCTTTTGCTCCAATTTTTAGCAGGCTGATACAACACTTGAAGAAAGAGATGGTGATAAAGACAAATGCAGACATACATTACAACTTAAAGCAAATACATGAAATTCAAATGAAAGTGATTACCAAGCACGCGATCTGATAAATACAATGAGGTATAAATATTATTATTTATACAGCACAGTCCATAGGAATGATCTGAGCAGTGTTTTTAAACCCTGTTCGCACTCACTGCAGGTTTTAATGCACGAAAAAGACAAAAAACAAAACAGGTGCTCAGTGGCATGAAGACAAATGTGAAGCCAAATGTGTCCCTGAACGGATTAAAGGATTTCTTAATCAACTCTGTAGTGTGTGTACATTGTGATAAACCTCCCAAACACAGGTAGATGTTATCAAGTTTCTACAGCATGTCTTACTTGGATTAGGTTCTATACAGCCATCAGAGTCCACTTTCTTGTTCGATGAGGAACAGGTTCCCCTTTTGGTTTTGCTAGTTTAATGGCAGAGGAAAATCGGACATTAGTGAGGAAGCACAATCTGCCACAGAAGGTGTGTTTCAGACACACCGGGATGCCGGAACTCAATTCAGTCTGTTAGAAACAAGCTCCAGACAGCATCTGGATGCATCAGCTGCTGTAACCAAAACGTAAATCAAAAGGAAGGAATATAAAGTTGCACTGCAGAAAATTGAAGATCACTTTTTGGAAACATAAAGAACAATCTGTCCTTTAATTTTTGGTAAAAAATAATAAGCCGGTAGACCGGAAACCTTTGGGTTGGTATCCCCGTGCTGTTCAAGTAGGATATGCCCTTTAACTTATTTACATTACCACTGTGCTCCACATGTTGCACCATTTGATGACTACAGCACAGCCACATAAACATGAAAGGGTTTGTTAATGTATAACTGCAAAAGTTATTTTTGGTCCACTCTCTTATAATGAGATAAAGTTTGGGTTGATTTTGATTTATAAGATATTGACGTAAAAGCCTTGAACACCATTCCCACATTTGTCACCAAGCTGGGAATGTTTGGAGTCATTCAACCAAGGAGTCATATCTTCTCGTTAATTCTGTTTACACGCTGATGAATACTGATACAATGTCCAAAATATGTGTATGTACTTTTCACATATCTCTTCAATTATCTCGTGAGTTCCTCACATTTATTTTGCAATTTATCCTTAAAAGCAGCAGACTGGGATCATTGAACAGGTGTTTAATATCAATCAAATGTGGCAGAAATCAAAAATGGGCTGTGGGGCTTCATAAGAAATTGACCTTTACTAATAATTTGTTTTAGGTAAGCAATAACTTACTTGAAGCAAAGAGTATACCTCATTATACTCCAGGATTTATTTTATTATTTAAATATCTAAACAGTTTGGATGTAAATAAAAAAAAAAAGATATTTTTTGCCAAGTTTTCCCAAATTTGGCAAGTTTGGTGAAATGCTTTCAGCACACAAGAAAACAATAAACACAAATAAAAACAAACAAACCACAAAGTGTAAACCTGGAATATTATGGCCATATAAACATTATTATTGCTTTTTATTTTGGTGTATTATGGGGTATTCACAGTGGTGGGTAGTAACTAATTACATTTACTCAGTTACATTTACTTGAGTAACGTTTTGGAGGAAAAAAATGCTTTCAAGGAGTTTTTCTACACTGTACTTTTTACTTTTACTCGAGTAATAATATTATGAAGTCTTGTTACTATTACTTGAGGAAAAAATTCTTGCTACTCTACTCAGTGTGAGTAACTTCATTTAATGAATAATAAACAATAATAAACAAAATAATAACCAAAAATGCACGAGACACAGACACAGACCTACAGTTTATGTCAAAGTGAGACTTCTTGTTTGTACATAAGGTTTGTTGTTTTAATGTTATTCTATCTGCTAAGCCTGTTGTGCCATTTGGAGAAGTAAAGTATCACCATGTATTGTTACTGGAAGTACTTTACCCAATTCTAGCAACATTTATATTACCTTCTCTAAATATTAGTTTCATAATGATTTTGAAAAGATTAGATTTATTATTTTGTAATTATGTTTTTTTTTTTTAATATGTAGTATTTTTATTTTGCTTTTCAGTATTAAACTTTATATTTTTGTCTGTCTGATTGGCTCATTTTTAAACATTAAATCAGATGTTATTATCAGTTACTCAGCACTCAAGTAGCCATTTTCACTAAATACTTTTTTACTCTTACTTGAGTAATTTCTTGGATAGCTACTTTTTACTTTTACTTGAGTAAAACTATGTTGAGGTAGTGCTACTATTACTTGAGTACAATGTTTGGCTACTCTACCCACCTCTGGGTATTCAGGGCGCTCAACTTTAATAAAATAAATAAACTCATTATGGGGCAGAGACCTCACAAATTTAAATTTTGTACAAATGTTGCTACAACGCCAACGATATTTCTCTCCATTGAAATGTTTTAATTCATTTTTGGATCAATAACAGTGTTTAAATAAGTCTCAACTGACTCTATCAACATACCAAAATCTACTTTCTGTGACTTTTTGGTTTTACCAAACCTTAAATTTAAGTGATGCGATTCCTCGACATTTCTCTTGTAAATTTATGAGTTTTCTTCTCTGAGTATTACACCCCGCTCCACCCCTGGGCCCTTAATATGGTATTGTATTAGAAGAAGCAGTTTATGATATGTTTGGTTATTCCCCACTGCCACTGTGACACAGCCAAAGTGCTGACCGCTTGTACAGCTTTCAAATTAAGAAAATAAAATGCTTTAAAAAGATTTTAAAAAGTCAATATCTTGTGCAACATGGCTTTGCTCGTTATTTCCTCTGCAAACACTGCTTTCCAGCTGGACTCCCAGGTGGACTGGGTAGCCTGTAAACATGATGACATATTGTTTCCTTTCCTATTTGAAGACAAAGCACCCGGTTGTTATCTATATTGACAGAAAGCTTTCATTAATCACCCTCTCATCCGCTGGCATCTTAAGAAGACGATTCATATACCCATCATAAGTGGCTACATTTGTTGCTGTAGTTCCCTTTGATGACACCATTTCAGAGAAAAATGTAAGGAGCTAAAGTCATGTACTCTTCAAACCTCGTCTTCTGTGTAGGTATGAAAAATCTTTGACATGAACTTCTCTGGAAAGCCCAAGCAAGCTCTTCATTGCAACAAATAGGACCTTTGAACACTTCTGGCTGCCAACATCATGTAGATCTACAGTCAGTAGTTAATTATTTGCTCCCAAATTTCTCCAAAGAATCCTAAATGTGCTGTTCATCAGGGAGCAGAATCTGTGATTGTCCTATACATCTGCAGGGAAGTCACCTCCACGTCTGGGACCTTGTTATTCTGAGGACGTCCCGTTGGGCTGTAACCGGCCGATCGTCCCATTGGACTGAAGCTAGTAGTGGTGCGGCCTGCGTGGGTGAAACCAGAAGATCGTGTCAGGGCAGGACGCCGCAGGAACCGACCTGATGTCACCAGGTCCCCATAGCCCTGTGCGTGCGAGAAGGCGTAGCCCGAACGGCGGGAGCTGGTGCGACGGATGCGGGCACGTCGAGTTGGTGGAGCAGGTGTTGCTTTCGCCTGCCTCACTTTGAACATAACCTAATATTTGGGGAGGAAATGAGACAGTTATAATGCAGGAGTGGGTGTTTTAAGGAAACATTTAGTTAAATAAGAAGCCAGAAGGTTAATGAGTCCATCTTAAACATATTGTATATGTGAGAAAACCTTTAAAAAGACAAATCCTTTGAGAAACTCCCCAGAGAGCCTTGGGTTTGAATCTCAGGAGTAAACACATCTATCCAAATAAACTAGTTAAAGGATGAATCACGTCTTGTTTGTCTATCTTGTATCTCAGGTACACAGAATTCAGGTTGCACCCTCAAACTGCAATTCAACATACTGACCCTTGATTCTCAATAAGCTCTGCTTTTTAACCTGTACTTGTTTTTGGCAAGTTAGCACTGTTAAAGTAGGATGAATTAGTTTCGATTAGTTTTCTATGCCATGTTTCTAGATTACTTTGTTGTGAGTAAAACGTTACTGTAAAATGACCTTTTCCCTGTTTTTTGACACTTGTTTATTAGCAATAGTTTAAAAAGGACACTGAAGATGATTTCCTCAGAAACCGAAAGTCACACTGAGAGGAGGAAGCGTCTCACTGCCCTAAACCAGCTTCCCGGCAGATTCTTAAAAAGTCTAACACCTAAAAAAATGGAGGTGTGAGTTTCCCATGATAGTCAAGCACAGCAGGTAGAGCTGCATCTCCTCTGCTACCTTATCATTGATGGTGGGGCAGAGCTGAATCATCAGGAAACGGTTGGTAATGACGGGAAGGACACACAGGATGGAAGTGAGGAAGATTGTCAGCCAAACGTTGGGCTGGTTCAGGGAGTTTCGTGCTGTTCCTGAATAAACACACACATACATAAGGTTTGTATTATTACAGGTGTGAAGAGTTTTTATTTACAGTACTCCTGGCCCAGACTTTTATCCCTATATATGAATTCTGTTCTATTTTATGGATATCAAATTAACCTGTTAACCCTCAGAGCAATGAAAACATGAAGAATATTGGATTATTCTCCTAACAACAGATGAGTCATTAGAAAGGATAATTAGTATTAGTGGAGTCCACAAATAAAAAAAAGGTAATAGGTGTAATAGCTCCACTTTACTAAAGGTTACAAATGTTCATGTTGAGGCAAAATAATCAAAACAAAAAGAAAATAACTTGGGGTAAATATCATTTTAAATGTTTAGACACACGTGAACATTTAGTAAGACCAGGCTGTCCTCACATCGAAATACTCATTTTAAGAGATTGTATTACAGGTGATGTGTTAGAGTGCAGCATCTCTGTTCTCAAATTTATCCTTTCCCCCCAAAGAGGTTTTTTAATTATCTCTTATAAATATCTTGTTATTAAAATCATTTTAAATAGTCTTAAAATTATTTTTCCTAGACAACAAGCCAGGTCGCCACAGATCATTGTGACCCAAAAAGGCTCCATTGCCTTGTCATTTCAGACCTCCTTAAATACTGACACCTCAGTATATAGAGGTATCTACTGTAAAAGACCAGGGTGAAGCAGTGAAAGCTCTTAAGCTGGGCATGCACTGTGCGATTTTTTTCAGTCGCGTTATTCAGCTCAAACTGTACGATTGACTCGCAGGGGTTAGAAGTTCGTAGGTCACGATGCAGGGTCTCCCACTATACAGCCCGATGCTCTGATGCGACCTGAGTGCTCACACTGTGCGTCCATAAAATGAAGGTTATAACACAAAATCTGCCTCTTGCTCTCTGTCTTTCACTCACACAGACACGCACACCACCACCATCAACTCTGCTAGATTGCTAATGAAAAACATTAATCGGGCAGCTGTGATTGAGCAGAAATGTAAATCCAACTATTTTCATGGTTGTTGCGGTCGTGATAATTTTGTGAGGCCACATCGAAATAGCTCAGATGAGCTTGCCAAAGTTCTACAAGTTGTGCTTTCATCGCTTGTGTCCAGATCACATGCCGCACTGCCGTGCTGCTCCGTCTTTTCACTTTCATTTCTGTGTTTGCGTGTGCGCAGTTTGAGAGGCTGCGGTGACACCCTCACGGCGGCCGACAGGATTTCAAACAGGTTGGATTTTCTTACGACCAAACGACTGATGATCGGGAGCTGGTCGTGAGGTGTTAATCACTTCTCGTTACCCCACGTATACTACACGATGCACGACACACGATGAAGGCGAAACTTGGGCCGATCACCAAAACGGTCGCACGACTGAAAAATCGGCTCAAAATGGGCCAGAAATGGCACAGTGCATGCCCAGCGTTAGAGGATTGTGTGTTACTTTAAACGGTGTCTCAGCTTTTCCCAGTCTAAAGACACTCAGACTGTCAAATATTGTTGCACATTGTGGTAAAGAAAGGCCTTTAAATCAAGAAGGAGATTTTATTTAAAAAAAAAGTAATGTTTCAACATTTTAAAGTATTAAAACAGAACTGTTTCAATTTAAGAAAAATTGAATGTTGATTAGAATTTTGTATATAGAGAATAAGCGAAAAAAAAAGAGAAGTATTTATCCCAAACTTTACAACTTTCCAAGACTATGTAGATCAATTTAGTGAGAAAAACAAACATGTTGAAAGCCACTACCACGTGACCTCATAAAGCAGACGTTCTGCAAAGATACCAAACACAATTCAAACACTGTTAGTCTTATTTGAATTACTTGAGATTAACTTTAGCCTCATATAAAAGAGTGAGCAGCCGGAGCAGACATGCAGTCAAAAAAAAAACACATTGTTACATTTATGGATTGGATACTCAAAGCTGTCAGAGATGGCAAGTTTGTCACTCACCTATGAAAGGGAAGGCTGATGGCAATATGGTGAACATGCCGTTACTGTACATGGTGAATGTGACAGCAAAGTACATCGCCAGGCTTCCCAACACGAAGAACGTGTTAACTGCCGTCCAGTAGGACATCTCAAACCCCAGCTATGGGCAAAGACAGCCAGCAGGTTCTATAGTTATATACGTTTTATAATAAACAAATAAACATTTGAAAAATTATGCAAAAGAAAGGTTTCTGGATACCTGGATGCTGACGGCAAACAGCAGACATGTCTGAGTGAGGAGGGCGAAGGACTGGTAGTCGGCGATGTCCTTCCCATCATCCCTCACTGTGTCATACATAGCAGCATAGGGGATAAAAAAGAGCACCAAGGAGCTGTAGCAGCTGTGGAGGGCACATTTGAAGAAGGACTTCTTGCTGAAGTACAGGTTGAGTTGACCTGGAACATAGAGCTGAGGATGCTGGAAACTCCACACATCATTCACATCCTAACCAGCAGGGGGAGACAAAGACATTAGATCATTTTTTAGTTGGTTTGGGTTTGTTTTGGGGGGGTTTCTTTTTCTTTTTTTTTTTGGCGGGAAGGAATTCATTTGAGCTCAGATTTATGGCCATGATATTTTCATACATACAGATGATCCCATTACCTGATCAAATAGACTCATTCCCAGTACAGGTAGTGCTGTGTACATCAGATTGTAGAGCGTTATAAACCACTCATCATACACAGTCTGAAAAGCAAAAACAGAAGTGGACCTTTAACCAACTTCTTCAATTTTGGACTCAATTGAAATGAAGTACATTAACAGACTTCACATTATCATTCAAAATGTGCAGCATCGTATTTGAAATTTGTAAACTGATGTTATTTTTTGTATCTCTTATTTTCCTTTCAAAATAATTTGGTCTTTTTCTTATTTACACTGACCGTACCTAGGCTCTGGTGTAACTGGTGTTATTCTGCTTCATGTCTCATTTTTTTAAATTACTGTATAAATACAAATCGTTAATAATAAGTCTGCTGTTCAGAGTTTTAGTACAGTTTGGGGTTTTTTCTACCCCTTCCATTCTCATTTACATACTAAAATTCAGATCTCACTATGGCTTCTCTAACTGGTTTGTTCTGCCTTTTCATGACACACAATGAAGTGAGTGTTTATATATAATTATTTACAGATTGAATGTCATATTATGTTTAGTCTAACTTGACTACAAGGAAAATGCAGGTTAAAGGCATTTCTGCAATGGCTCGATCATAATTTTGTAACTACTCGTCTCTCACCTGCGCAGAGAAACCACAGAAGAAGGCAAACCAGAAATGGACGAAGGTGAAGGTGAAGTTTTTGTAGAAGAAGTAGCGCAAGAACTTGCACATGCGCAGGTAGGACCAACGGCCGTGCACCAGCAGGAGGCGCTGCAGGAAACGGAACTGGGCAAAGGAGTAATCGCTGGACAGCACAGCCTGCATGCCCTCCTGGCCTGAGATGCCCACACCTATATGAGCCGCTGTGTGGGGAAAAATGAGAATGAAGAAAGAGTATTTTAATTAGAGTTAATGGTTGAGTATAGGGGAAAAGTTTTCCAAACTTGGGAAAGCATTGGAGAACAAACAGGAGGTTCATATGAAGCAGTTTGAGTTTCTTCTGCTACCTTTGATCATGCTGACATCATTGGCTCCATCCCCAATTGCCAGTGTGACTGCCTTCTTGTACTTCTTGACCAGCTCGACCACCTGAGCCTTCTGCAGAGGAGTCACCCTGCAGCAGATCACTGCTTTGCACATGCATGCCGTCCTTAGGAACTCCAGCTCCAGGCTGTGCTCCAAAGCGTATGCCTGAGGGACAGAGGGGGTAAGAAAAAGGTGAGCTTAGAAGAAGACAGGCAATAAAAAACGTGTGACTGACAGAGCCATGACTGTTAACAAAGACTGGAACATGAGCACAAGAAAAAGGTCGGGCTTTTTTTGCATCGCTGTTTGATGATTTTAAATCATAATGTCTTTCAAAATAAAGTTTCATGGATAGAAAAAAAAAAGTTCCCCACTGTAGCTACAGTACTTTTATTTTATTGGACTTCCAGAAGAGCTTGTTTCATCAAATAAACACATCTTTCATACTCAATAAAAAATTAGGCTCTAAGTAAGAAACTGAGGACAGCATTTGCATACGGCAGCAACTCGCCAGTTACAAAGTAAGCACATCTTTTAAAGTTTGAGAGTGACAGCATGCACATAAACTGAAATTTATGTATGTATGTACCAAACTATGTCCATTGATGACCAGGCCGTACTCCCCATTCACCACCTCATCTGTGACCACTTTCACACCTTTATCCATTTCGGGTAAAAACTCTGAATTCTCAGCTGCATCTGGCTTCATGGAGGTTCGGGCATTTCTAGAAAAAAAATCAACAGTATATGAAAACCTGTCATAATGAGATAGTAAAACATGTTTAGTCTAAGATTTCCTCTGACCTCAGTTCCTGCTGGACATCCTCAAGTGAGTTGCCCGAGATGATGAAGACATCATTCATCTCTTCCCGTAGCAAGTTGCACGAGTAACCAATGTTCTCTGCGGTTTCTGCAACACAGACAATCAACATCACCATGTGTGGACTGGAGTCTGTTCCCCATACGCATTAACTTTCATCTTATTCAAAGTTATGTACCTTGCTTGTCACCGGTCAAAACCCAGATTTTGATGTCGGCCTTAGACAGCTGCTCGATAGTCTGAGGTACTCCATCTTGCAACTTGTCCTCTATGGCTGTTGCTCCAAGCAGCTGAACACACACAGAACACACACATGATCAGAATGCTGTTCATTTTCCCACACAGTTATGTTTTTACAGTATGAGCTGCCTTTATCGTCTTACCAGGAGATCCTTCTCTATCTCCTCATACAACTGGTCCAGTTTGCCCTCTCTATCCTCCAGTGCAGTGTTGGCCTCATGGTGGCGCTGTATCCACTGGTTAAAGTACTCCTCATCCAGATCCTTGTAAGCAAGAGCAAGAGTTCGCAGCCCATCCCCTGCAAATTCCTGCAGAAATTCCACATGCGTATACTTATATGGATGAACGCTGGATACTAGAAGGTACACACACACAAATACACAAATGCACACACAAGCTCAAGGCATTTGCACATATAAACAAAAGTCAAACTCTTGCTCAGTTCAAGATTAGAGGAGCAAAAATGACAGCGAGAAATTAATCAGATCTTTCCCAAAACTTCCCTAAAAGAACAGACGTAGAAGAAGGAGGAATAAAGAAAGGCACTTTGAACATGGCAGCTTTTTCTGACGTACCTGCGCTACAGCTCCGCTGTTGTCCAAACACAAATATTTAAAACAAGGCAAATAAAGTCAAATGAAGCTGTGGTGGATATCTATCCCCATTTATGATGACTATGAGAACTGCAATTTATCTTATATCAAACCCACACAAACAAACTCCTTCCATAAAGCATGAATTTAAATCTTTTATTTCCTTTCCTGTCAGTAAGACAAAGAACGTACCGACACGTTTATTTTAAAAAAAAGTGCTATACTTACAGCACTTTACTTAAAGTATTATGTGAGAGGTTGTGCCTGTTACCTTTACAGCCTTATATTGCTCAAGAATTAATGTGTACTCAACTCCACTTAACAATCCACTAGTTTGAACTGCTGCTTTAAAATGAACTTAAAAACATCTATTATGTTATGTCTCTTTATTCTGTCAGTATGGCCTCAAATTTGGGTCATTAGTGGAGATTGAACCTGGTTATCTTTGCACTCGCTCAGACATTTTGGACAGTGCAAAGTATTATACAAATTAAGGTTTTTCATCATGATTATCAGAGATACTTGTGTATAAATTCAATAATTTGTTGCTCCGGGGAAGCAAGTTCATCCCAAATCCAAATGCATTTAGGGATGAACTACGTACAAATGCAGTTGACATAGCCTAGCAGAGTCAAATATCTCTCTTTGAACACACACACAGAAATACTACTAACATTAAGATGCTCTGTCGTGACATCCATCAGCTTGCTGCAGGACTGGTGCAGCCTTTCGTAGATGATTGTGTCTGCACCTTTGCAGTAAAGAGACAGCTTGCCCTCTGGACTCCTCACTGCATACAAAAATGTACATACATGAAAACAAACAATGTTTCAAATTGCAGTGGAAAAAAAAAGCAGTCTGTATGAGAGCTAAATAGGAAAGCATATACAGATATATAGATACATATATAGTATGTATATACCTATGACTGACATCCTCTTGCGGACATTGTTGAAATCCAGGATGGCCAGGAGTTCATAGTTGCACTGCTTTCCCATTTCCACGATGGAAATACTGTCTGGTGTTCGTGAGCGGAAGACAAATCCAAAGTTTCTGGCTGCGGTCACCAGAGCCCCCTCATCTGGCGACTGGGCCTGGTAGAAAAGCTCTCCTGGAGAACAAAAAGTTTATATTTAGCAGGGCAAATATGATTATTTATTAAAGTTCATAATTCTAGCTGCAGCAAAAAAATGCTTTCACGTTGATCAGTTTCAAGCCAGAGCTTCTTTCATTGGAGGACCTCTACAATAAACTACTGAATAAAAAAAGGACTGGAAAACACACATACTGCCTTTTAACTGCTCACTGAAACATCTGTACCGTCCTCACCTTCTTTCTTCTCCTCGGCCATGACAGTGTGGCAGAGAGCCAGCAGCCTGAAGAAGGCGTGGACCTCCGTGTTCTCCAGCTTCACCGCCTCCACCAGAGAATGGTCGTGGAAGACGAACCGAGAGTCGGCTAACGGATTGAAGGAGAAGTCTACTGTGTCTGTATACTGCAGGAGTAAATGTACAACAAGAAAAAAAGAAGTAAGAAAGAAAGAAGGATAAAGTAGAAAGGGAAAGAAATGTAACTGGACCTGCTTAGGCTGATGAGGAGAGGTGAGAGAGTCTGTTAACACTAAAATGTGTCAGAAACTTTAACTAATTTAATAATATAATCCTGTGAAATCACTGTAAACCTGGTAAAGAACTAAAGTTGTTTAACTGTCTAAATATAGAAATCACAGAAAGTAAAGGAGCAGCAGTCTAAAAGGAAAACTGTTCAACATACCAGGGAGCAGGAATTCTGTCCAATGTTTCTCTTAACTACCTTCCTTAAACCTATCCAAAAATTCTATTTCAGGGAAACCAAACTTTACCACTGCATTGGAGACGCCATCTGTCAGTCAGTCATATGGACCAGTAATCTATTTTTTATTTATTTATTTTTTAAATCTGCATATGTAAACTCACCTCATTCATTTCTAGTCTTTGGCCTGTGTAGTCATAAACATCTCCTGCAGAGCAGAATAACATTTTTAATCAAACTTTATTATACATGAAGAGAATGTATTGAACAAAGCATCAGCTGACGTAAACCTTTGTGTGCGTGAAAAACCATCCAACTTCTCTGAATAAGGAATCCAAAAATGCATTTTTAGAAAGTCTCAGTAGATTCTTGTTTCAGCTTCATTCAACTGAAAAACACTTTATGACTAAAACTCTTACCATAGCATTTGCCATTAATAGTGCACTTGTTGAAGATCATGATATTCTGGGTGAGTGTTCCAGTTTTGTCACTGAAGACGTATTTGATTTGGCCGAGCTCTTCGTTCAGAGTGGTGGTACGAGCCTCAGCAGGGGTGTCATTGCGGGCATAGTACATTTTCCTGTCCCAGTCGATGTAGAAGCTGTTCCCCAGACGAATGATCTCCACACTTCAAGCAGATATTGAAAAGAGGCACGTGTAGTCATATTTTTTTTTTTGCATTCATTTTGTTAAATTCATTGTAAAAAAGTAACACAAGGTAATAAAAGCATCATTTCAAACTTATTACCTCACATAGAGAGAGATGGGCACCACGGTGTTGAGGATGATGACGTAGGACCAGAATGTGAGGAAGGATGAGAAAGCAGGATCATCCTCCAGCCTTGGCAGGAAGACAGTAAACTGTGAGCCCTCATTTCTTTCCCAGATGTAGTTTCCTATCGCCAGGACAGAGCACATGAAGGCTAGGAAACCAAAAATCTGCAGAAAGAGTAGAAAGATGCTTTATTTTGTCATTTAGGGATACAAAAAAAAAAAACTGTGTTGGTGTATAAACTTCAGCTACAACTCAGAAACACAAATGTCGTAGATCCAAAACAGAGACAACCATGATCTGCTTAAGCTTGAAATAAAAAGACGTGTGAGTTTGTGATGATGTCATCTGAGAGGAGTTTCAGATCTAAAAACAAATGGTGCAGAGTCCCAGGTACTCTATGACCCCTAGTGGAGGTCGTCCTGAGGGTCGTTGACCCACTATTGATCATGCGAGTCGTCACATGAGCCATGGTGTGAAAAAAAGATGTGGGTCAGTACCATCACCACGGGTTCAGGGGGAAACCACTACGGGATCTTCCTCGACCTTATCCTGTGACGTTGCGCATACAAGCTTGTATATAGATGTATAACCATCTCTCATAATGATAAACTACCAAAAACATGATAATTTTTTATTTTAATCAAAAGTTTGGAGTTACTTTGAAATACCATAATAATTTTTTTAAAGAAAAGCTCATTTGTTTCCATTTAATACGTTTATAATTATCGAACTACCTCAGCACAGATGAAAACTGTTCTGTTGTTTAAAGAAGCATTTGACTAATTAAGCATGTGGAGCATCAGTGTTTGTGGGTAAGATTACCAATTTAAACTGACCGACTTCAAAAAAAAAAAAAAATGGGGTGATCTTGTTTAAGAGGTTAAAGTTATTTCATGCATATTTTGCTCAAATAAAGGGAACATTTCATACAACCATGTACAGAAATAAATACATTTGCAACAGTCAAAGATTAACAACGTGATTACCCCACATACATATTTTTGGAGTTTTGTTTACTCAGAAGTACCACTGCAGGACTTGGTTGTGCATTAGCAACAAAAAGTTTAATTTGAGCCTGAGAGGGTTAAGAGGTTAAAGTTATTTCATGCATATTTTGCACAAATAAAGGGAACATTTCATACAACCATGTACAGAAATAAATACATTTATGGATGCTTTATTGATTCCACAAGGCAAATTGTAGTACTTAATGTAATTTAATTATGCGGTTAAAAAAAAAGGGCAGACTGTAGTTTAAAGTTTGGTTTAAAAGTTTTACATTTTTAAGAATGAGTGGTACTGATTTATCCAGCTAAATTAATGGCTTTGTCTTCCTTTGCTGTGGTAGTAGCTACTCCATTGCACCTTGAAGCTTTAGCAAACTATGCATGCATCCCCTTTACGGTCTCGGATACATCACAATTTTCTTGCTTTCTCCTGTTTGTGCTGCTCTACTGCATCAGATCTTTTGATTTCAAATAAATCGTTAGTGTTGGTGAGGAGAATGTCCAATAAAAAAAAAAATTGTGGTGCATTAGCAGAAGGGAAATAGTGTAATGAACTGATTTAACTGTAAACTTAAACTTCAGTACCTCAGCAGCAGTCAGCTCACTTCTTCACAAATCTCATTATAAAACAATAAATTATTGATGACCCTGAGATGTGATAAAACAAATGCACTCACAAAGAGGACTAAGATATTCATTAGACGGTCTATACTGGTCCTCTTGAACGTGCTCTTCCCACAGTTTTGCATCAGCTTTGTTTCTGGACCTGCAAAAGAGAAACAGAATGATCTGAAGTCACAAGTTTCATAATTCCCACTACAGTAGTTCCCTATTAATGTGTGTCTGACCTCCAAATAGCACCAGTCCAAAGCACCACTCAGTGTTCCTCAGGGTGCAGCCTCGCAGTAGGATTTTCTCATTGTCAAGTGAATATTTCTGACCTGCGAAGCTCAGCACTCCTGTGAAGCGGTCGAGGCGGTTGTTGGGGGGTTCACAGCGGACCTCACCTTGAGGAAAGGAAAGACACGGCCAGGTTTAGATTTAGAAAGAGTATGACATCTACCAATTTGAAAAATCAAAATACCTCCATAACGTTCACAAATTGTCTTCAGATGAATTAAAGTTAAATGAAGGTTAAAAAAAAAAACATGGGTTAGAAAATACGTGAGCCTAACATGAACTTTTCCTTTCTTTGCGTTTTCACTTATTCACTTTCATCTGCTGATCGTTGCTTTATTTCTGGCACTTGCTTAATTTTAGCGCTTTTTTACTATATAAGATGAGTTCAAGATAAAACCTTGATGAGAATAAAGAAACAGTGTAGAATAACTACAACTGTAATAGTAACCGTTACATGCCTCGGCTTTATTTAATTTTTTCTCTGTCTATTGTTTTGGGCATAACTGGTTTAGAAAATTACCAGCGTTAATAAGCATTAATGGAAAGAGTGGCATTGACTACATTCATAAACATGTATTTTGTGTAGTCAAAACATGTAAAACTACAAGGAGGCCATAAACAATAAACAACATTTCCAGATTTCTTTACAGAAACTGTGAATGAAGTTTAACTTATTTATTATGTCTTACGTTGAGTATTGCGTTGGGTAGGTTGCCATTTATTTATTATATAAATAAACCTTCTATGTATACTGTGAGGAATAACCTTAACAGGGTAAGTCATTTTTATTTCTATAGCACATTTACATTTAACATCAAAGTGCATTACACTGAAAAAATTGTGTGTGTGTGTGTGTTTACAGTCTCACCGTTAAAATCTGCCAGTTTTTCAATATCATCCCCCAGGTCTCCCGTCACTGGGAGGGCCTGTCTCACCTTCAGGTTAGTTTCTCTGAGGAAGAGAAGCCGAGAAAGTTAAAAAGAGGAAGAAAGAAGACGGCTGCATAAGCGGAAGTGAGAACAGAAGGATGTGGTTAGATGTGAAAAAGGAGGAAAAATAGACGAACCCATCGAGTTCTGCAGTCTCAATGTACACAAGGTTGAGTGGTTCACTGCTGGAGAGCAACAAGAGGTCTGCCTGAAATCACAAAGAATTTATGAATGGTAAAAATGTATGTGATCGATGACAGGATTTTATTACTCAACTAAAAACTTACGTTAGGTTTACTGACATCTCTGCTTGTTCTTTTGTCTTTTAGAAAACGTCAAAATTACAATATGAAAAACTTCCCCTAAACCTAATTTGGTTATGCGCCTGTTCCTTTGAACAGACATGCTAAAAGTTCACTGAGTCAACCCACAAGAACAAAATAAAACATCCAGAGGAAGTCAACAATAAACTGTAACACAATGAAGTACAGTTTATATTCTATGTGTTGGGGAAGAGAAAAACGAACAAATAAGAAGTACTTCCACCCTCTGATGCTCTACTTACTGTAACAAACTGGTTGTTTTCTAGTTTGATGATGTCTCCCACTTGGACATTCATCCATTTCTCACTCCGTAGCCTGAGAACAGGGAGAGGTTGGTAAGTGTGTGTGCACAGTATCACTTTCCCTTTTCTTTGAAGATGGTCAGGAAACAAATGCTCTGAGGGCTCACAAATAACCACTGAACACCAAGGTCATCCTAATATTAGTCATTTTCCTTTTGCTGGATGTTCCTGCCAGTGTCCTGTATTATCTCTCTGTGTATTTATCTGCCAATAATAGCCAGAGTTTTTAATAGTTGGCTGGAACTGGATGCTTTGCCAAGTTTCCCATTACATGCTTCTGCTCATGTTGGTGTTTCAGATTCCCACAGCTGACATATTTTTAGGATGATCTCTTTCTAGTTTGTAAGTTTTCTTAATATTTGCAGTAATCTTTAACATGTCAAAACAACGTAAAGGAATAATTTTCACATCAGTTTTTCAAAGATTGTAAATAATTTTCATGTATTTTTTTGTTATCATTATATAAACAGTACAATATTTTTGTTATCATGGTTTTCTGTGTTTTCTGTATTACTGTAGGTCTTTACCTTACAATAAAAAGCACCTTGAGGCTACTGTTGCTGGGATTTATGCATTGAAAAGGTTTCTTGGATACTAATGGCACTATTGAATTTTTTAAACCATTATTACTATTTATTGTATTAATAAAATGATTATTACAACCCTGTAATCAGTTCTTTTTAATAGTATTCAGCATTTTCCTTTTTCTGATAGGATATACTTCATTTTTCCTCAAAGTTGCAAAAAACTGAAGTACAGGAGCAAATATTAAACACAACTTATAAGAAAATGGAGCTTAGGAAATTACAATAAAATATGACAAGAAAAAAATCACTCAGTAATTTACTGATAATTTCTAATTAAACAGAAAAAAAGTACACAAAATATAGGAGAGTAAATCTAAATGGAAAAACAGAACAGAATGTAAAACACAATAAATACAGGTACTGTGGTATGAGTTTGTTTCAGCTGCTTCCCCAGTGACTAAACACAGAATAATGAACGGGACATACGCTTTAGTGAAATAAACTATTTACTCCAGTCTTAAAAATGAAGTGATCTTTATTTTGCGTATTTAACAGAAGGCGGCCTTGTGTCAGCAGGAAGTAAACTTTTTCCTGCAGCTGCTTGTGGACTAAACAGTGAGCAAGGCAGCCAGGAGGAAATGAAGACATATAAGTTAAAATATTTTTATCCACCACACCTTTCCTAAGTAAAAATACAAATGGGGGCTTTATCTCTTATTTGATTATAACATCATCACATCATGGTATACAGGCCTTGTGATAACATCCCATATGGCAATTTTGAGACCTTAAAACAATTAGAACCTCACTTGATGTATAATGTTTAATTGTTCTGATAATAGCCAAGCGCAGTGGATATTTTTGAACCTGTATTTTCCTTTTTGCGCTCCAATATAGCCACAGGAAGCAGCTGCAGGATGGTGGGCAGCACTTGTTTTGTTGTTGCTCTTACGTCTACTATTTCAAATATGTGAGCTATGCTCTATTTGGGATCTCACAGGCACATAAGTGACATTCCACCTTCAGAGCTGAAATATCAAATACTTTGAATCCGTGCATGAGGATATGATTCATAGCACCCACCCACCCACCCACACAAACACACACACACACACGCACACACACAAACTTACTTTCTATCAATAAGGACTTGGACTTTTCGGTTGTTAACTCGATTGTCGCTCCTGTGGCGATTCTGGGAAACAGAACAAAATGACAGGACTGAGTCAGAAAAGGTCACAGGAAACTCAAACTGAGTTCACTGATTTGTTGTTGTTTTTTTTATGACCAAATTTCTCTTTAAAGGTATCAGTCACCAACTAACAGAGTATGTGAGAAGAGATGATAATGCAGTGACTGTACAAAATGAAGAGGGTTTTAGCCGAGTTAAACCTCAGACTCTTAGGCAAACGTCTACTTCCCTCCATGATGACTCTTCTTTGTCTCGTCTCATAGACTTACTATTTATTTTTGTATGTGAGACAGAGAGTCTGCTACTGAGCTAAAACTGAAGGGTGGCTTCCCTTCTGAAATTATATTCAGATTACAAAAGGGTTAAATGTGGTTTATTGATTGGAAACATTTACTGTTACTACTTGTTTCAAATATGAATAAGGCCCAGCTCAGATATGGCAAACTCCGTGAAGCTTTGCACAGAGCAGAAACTCATCTGTACGGCAACACATTAAAGAGATGCTGATCAGGCTGTTGAAGAGAAAATGAAGGTTACAGCCACAATAAAATAAAGTTAATGTTGAACTTGTTCTTTCTGTGTTACAACCTGAAGAGGTTCTGTCTGGATTTTATGTTCTGCTTTCTGGGAAGTCAAAGTCTTTCTTTTTTCACCTTTTACATTCCACCTTGTTATCACCCGACCTTTTTAGTCTAATTCTTTGTGAAGAGATCACATCAAGATAGTGGTTATCCAAAACTGTTAACTTCTGTTGTCAATTCTCTGGCAATTGCTGATGGCTGTTGATCAGTTGAATTTATGACAGTATTTTTTAAACAGAAAAAAAACCTGCCATTAATTGTTTTAATGTAAGTAATTTCTAAAACCAACAATTAGTTTTCTAGCAACAACTCATATGTGAATTCTCTCATCTCCAATTATCTCATTTTTTTGAACAATTTCTTGTGTTATATTGAGTTCCTGTACTTTCTGCCGTTGTCTGATATTTTTTCCTAATGTCTTGATTATCTTGCTTCCTATCTTTAGCTTTTTTATCTGCATTTGTAAGTGTTTGCCCTACCTTTAATTAGTTTGTCTTGTGTTTAGTTACTTTTATTGTTCATTTACATGCCTTTGTCCCTTTGATTTGTCTGTATATCAGTTTTCCCTCCTCTGCTTGGATTATTTGAACACGTCTCCCTCAAGAGTCATTCTGTTGGGTCTTTTCCTTTTGTGAAAAATTGAATGGCAATTTAAGTGATTTAATAGAATAGCCTTTATTGTCATTGTACACAGTACAACGAAATTGGAGGGCCACTCCCTTGGTGCAAGATTCAATAATAAATATAAATGTAAAATATAAAAAGTACAATAAAACAATCGCAAGTACTCAAACAATAGTAAGTATGATATATACTCTCACCAGTATAAAGCAGGAAGATCAAGCAATAATTACTCACTATTGGGATGTAGCATTACTTTAAATTCATTCTTACAAAGTTTGAAATCTCTGCAGCTGACTTGAAACTAAGTTGTAAAACTCTCCTTTTACAACTGCATTCCAAACACCAGCCATAGTTTGCTTTTGCAAGGTCATCTACCTCACCACACTTGGTCACACCTGGAATGCTGAGATCAAATTAACCCTGAACCAAGTGACCCTGTGAAAGTAGCAGACGTTTACCAGTCAGGATCTCTGCTGCTTAACAAAAAGACTTCTGTTTCTCTTCCTTGAGCCAGTCTTAATGGTTTGGCATTAAGTCCTTTTCCACTCACATGCAAACACCGGCACACATGCACATTTGTCTGGTTGACCTTAACTGCTGAAATCATTGTTTTACAAGTGCTTTTTTTCTGGTTTGCTTCTCACAAATTGATAAAAGAATAAGGAAACATTCTGACAATTAAATAAAAAGCCGTATCCCTTTTGAACTTGCAGCTTTCGGTCATTTGTGTTAAGCACATTGGGTTTTGTTTAATGAAATGTGCTGTCATTGTTTACCTGACTGGTAAACTGTCATTGCCATTTGTAGAGTAGACGTAGAGAGAGGGGAAGTTATTTCTTAATCAATTTTAACTCCCAGATGACGGAATTGGCTGAAATTTTCGCAAAAATGTCTGAAGAAATATTCAATTGAGCAACAGTTTGGACATGCGTCCAATCTCTTGATTAAAAGACTGGCTTGAGTGCAGACAGCTGAAGGAAGCTGAAATAATGAAAATGAGTTGGCTATGAGAATGTGGCAGCATGCCTCTTAACTGGCACTAGAAGGCATGAGCACATCACTCCTGTCCTCGCTAACCTACACTGGCTTCCCGTCAAATATCACTTGATTTCAAAATCCTTCTGCTCACTTTTAAAATTCTAATTAACCTGGCCCCTAGCTACTTAACTGATCTCCTTGATCCGTACAACCCAAAGAGAGCACTAAGATCCTCCAGCCAACTGCTCCTAATGCAACCAAGGTCTCATTTAAAAACCAGAGGTGACCGTGCATTTGCCATCCCTGCCCCTAGACTCTGGAATAATCTCCCAGTCGAAATCCGTACTTCGGAATCAATTCAATCGTTTAAATCCCATTTAAAAACACACTTGTTTAACTACGTTTTTGAAACAAATTAGTTTGACTTTCATTTGGCCTGCACTACGCCATGTCAATGCAATTTAAAGTATAATTGTACTATTTGTTCTTTGTTCTGCCCGCGCTGCGGTTTCATTGTGAAGCACTTTGATGAACACTAGTCTTTTAAATGTGCTATGTATATAAACTTTGACTTGACTTTGACTTGAATAAACAGTAAAATGGTTACACTGAACAGTAAGCCATTAAAACAAAGTGAAATAGAGAAACAAACAAAGGCATTAGTAAGCAGAGATAGGAAAATTCATGATAATCCAGAGAAATGAGTAACGATACAGCAGTTAGTGAGCGGTGAGAATTAGCAAGTCGGAATAGGTTGAGTTTTCAAGCGTGCTTTAAAGGATTGAATGGAGTTAGAGGCACGAAGGGTAGCAGGCAGAGGTTTGGTGCTACAGAGGCAAAGGCACGATCACCCCTAGTCTGGGCTGGGCCAGAAGTAATTTAGCAGATGATCGTAAATAACGGCTGGCAGCATAGAGCCTGAGGAGGTCGGTGAGATAGTCAGGCGTAAGGTTGTTTAGGCATTTGAAAGTAAGCTGCAGAACTTTAAAATCAATACAAAATTTAATAGGCAGCCAATGTAAATCAGAGACCACTGGAGTAATGGAGGCAAACTTTCCAGTTCCGGTTAGGAGACGAGCCGCAGCATTCTGAACAAGCTGCAATCGTTGGAGGTGAGCGAGTTGGAGTCCAGAGTAGAGTTACAATAATCATATCTACTCTTCTCTCAGCTTCATTGGCAGCTCCCTCTCCTCACTTCTTTATGTTGCTGCCTTTATTCAACATGTTGTTGAATGTATGTCTTTTAGGCAACAGAAGTGCGTGGATAGAGTGGAGGCTACACAATAATGTTAAATTTACCAAATATTAGTTGCTCTAGTCTCACATCAGTACTATCTAATATCACACAGACTATGCACTAGAGAGATGGTAGATTATAGTGTGAAAAAGGTAATTTTCTGGTGGGACAGACAGCCACTACAGCAGTTTTAAAGGACAAGTTTTAAAAAAAATCAAGTGAAACACAGATAAATAAGTCGTAGACAATATGTGTATAATGACAATATGTCAGGTGTCCTCTTTTTGTTAATGATTGATGCAAAGTGTGAAGTGAAGTGAGGTGGGGTTCTCATTATTCAGTTTCTGAAGGAGATTCTAGTTAAAGTTTGACATGGGGGTGGGGGCAACGCATAATGAGTGACTAACAGTTAACATCAGATCCAAAATCCTATTATTAAAAAGACAGTTGCATAAAAGTTGTTACCTGAAGAGGCATTGAGCTTGAGATGGGCTGTTTGATGTTTATATAAATTGACTGAATAGAGAATCCCAATAGTGATGGTTGTATGGTCTTCTTGTGCTGTGCTCGCTTTTGGGTGTTGGGGTACGTGGGGGATGTGTTTGCATCTTCTGACATGCCTGTTTTGCATTTGGAAGCTTAAAAGTTAGAGTGCCAAATCTCATCACAGATACGGTAACTTTGCAGATTGCAGTCGACTGAATTCTGTTTTCTTACCCCTCTTAATTCAAGCTACTTGGCTGCTGTAGAACAAACAACTCTGGCAATATGCCGAGTGTCCAGGTCTATTTACTATTTTATAGAGGAGGCTGTAAAAATTTGTGAATGGAGTCCAATATGAGTGGATGCGTCAGTGAAGCTCACTCCTGTCTTATGACAGTGACAGTGAGGTGAGTTGCTGAGGATTTCGTAAGCTTTATTTTCGGTAAGTGTTGCGCTCAGCCTCTGCTAGCTGCTGTTAGACGGCTTTAGTGAAACTCTCTTTGAAATGGATCTAACATTGTTGGACTCATAGGGAAAGTGTGATTTTTAGGACGCTTCAGTCTAGCATTTGCTGCCAAAAGTTAGCTTATAACCAGCTGTTGTCTTTGTTTAGCCACTCGCTGTTAGCTGTCTGGAGAAGGGAGGGTCGCATGTCTAATCTACTGACAATAAGTAACTGTGACAGTTAGAAATGAATTAATTCTAAGTTTATGAGAAGGATAATAACAACTGATAACATATCTGTACTTGAGGTTTAGCAGGGTGCAGAATTTAAAATGTAAACTGAGAAATCTGTATTGCAAACTTAGCAGATTTGGATACAAACGTAACCTTTTTATTAGTTTCTAATTTTTCTAATAGTATAATAAAGGACATGAATTATTTTGGTTGTAGATGTTGGTTTTTTCATTGCTATCTAGCCTTAAAAAAGCAGAAGACATTTTCAAATGTGCTCACAATATCATCAGTTGCATCCTTGGCAGCGGTGACCGTCAGCACGAGGATCAGGGGGACGACAGTGGTGAACCAGGACAGCGAGGAAATCTGAGGAATCACCTGAAGAACACAAAACGCAGAGAAGAAAAACTTTATTTAAACTCAGGTTGGAATAAAGTAAAGAGCCATGGGCGTATGTTTACTTACATAATGAAAAGAAAGGTGTGTATAAAAAAAGATTGTGTGCATTATGCCCATTTTAAGCTTGAAAAGAGGATCTTACTTTGTCAACACAACTTTTTATTAAACAATATTATTGCTATTTTTTTTCTGTTTAATTATACATGTGTGTTGTGTTTGCCGAGTAGTGTTTGAGTTGCCAAAATCTGCTTCCCATTGAAATTTTGTTTCAGTAGGAAATCTAAATAAAGCTATTTTCTGTTTTGTGTACTTTGGTGGATTAGATGCACTTATTAAGAAAAAAACAGATGTTGGTTATTAATCAATTTAAACTGCAGTGTCTAAGTTCCTTTGTTATGGTACAGTGGTCACTTTAAACTCTGTCGTGCAACGTGACTGTTTAGCACATAATGAGGCAATTTCCTGTTTTTGGATTACTGCACACCCTTAAATATCACTGCAGTGCAAACCGTGGACAAGCTTTAAGATTCCTTTGATGTTTTAGGAAGTGATTCTGACAGTAAAAGCAAAACTGAACATATATCAAGTTACTGATTAAACATAAAGAAGTTGTTTCAGAGGTTAATTTTTTTGGTTTCTTGGACAAACTGGGAGAAGAGTTGGAGTCTAAGAACAAAATCCTTTTTCGGGAATAAGTCATTACATCACGTCTTTGTGTCATCTGTGGTTCTGTTGATTCGTGCGGCTGAGGATTGTTTCCTGTTTCTTTGCGTAATTATTCTGTTCCCCTTTGTTTGCATCACGCTGTCTCTGGGAGTTTGGTGTTATTCCCTCTTTCAGTTTTATTTTGGACGTCAGATCCTTATGTGGGTTTCTGCATTTTTAATTCCTTCTGTCTTTCTTTTCCTTCTTTAGTGAACAATTTAATTCATGTATCCTTCATTGTTTTCTTTGAGAAGTTAAAGATTAAAGTGTCATACACACTCCGTAATTAGTGTGTCAGGCACCTAACAGTGAGACAGGTTTGCTTAAAACTCACCTGGAGCACCAGCAGGAACAGGAAGTAAGCGTTAGCAATCCTCTGGAACTGCTCAAACAAGTTGAGAGGTAGGAAGGTGAAGAAGTTGTACTTGGAGGTTTTGATGGCATTTGTCTGTAAAAGACGGAAAGAAAAGGAGATGTGACGAAAATTTAAGAATAAAACTGACAGCAGAGTTACTTTTGAGAAATTCTGGAGTTTGTTGAATGAAAGTATTTGTGTCATTTTTTAAGGAAGCGCAAAGTGTTATTAAAGTTATTAATAGACCTAGGAAACAAAATTAGCTGTCCCTACTGTGAATTTGATGGTGAGCCTTCTGTTTAAATGAGGGTTGTAGTTGGAGAATGATGGGTGGAGGTGTCGGGTAACTCTGGACGAATGGTTAAACAGCCAGAGCGTTTTGTGAATCAGGTCAGTTTAGGTGGACTGATCTTGTAATTGCATCTTGGGCTTCCCCGTACTTGCTATGACATTTCTGCTGCATGGGCGCATGAGACTGAAAGTCTTCTGATGTGGGGGTCTACACAAAGTGCAAATGCAAGTGGTCAGTGTGGGATTTCCACAGAGTGATCTGTGTAGCCCGAGTGCTTGAAATGGCACAGAGGTACACAAAGAGATGAGCTTGATGGACAAATTAAATGAGATATGGCATGGTTTAAGCTTTTTCTGTGAGGAGTCACATCTTGGAAACTACTGGACAAATAAAGCCTTATATCTGAAGCATCCGGTCACTGTGTGAAGCTCTTACTCTGTGGACTGCACTTATATAAATCTATAAAACCTTAATGGCTTGCTTTATGGAAATTGGGCTCTAAGTATAAATGGTGATAAGACAGTCAAATGGTAGGTAATCACATTTAAGGCTTTTAAGAAATATTTGCCTGTGCTTTTGGTCATTTGGAAACTGAATGGCTAAAATTATGTTTGGGTCCAAAGGCAGGTAGCATAAAGGAGAGTGAGAGTACAGCTTGAATATTCCTGAAAAGATTCTCAGTAACACCAACTAATTTAATAATCAGAGCACTCTGTAATCAGCCTGAGAAAGTAATAAAGTTAGAAAGCACTTGTTCTGAGTGAGACCTTATATCCCTGATGCAGTTCTGTGTCTACTCTTCTCAATAAGACATTTTCCTGTGTTTTATTCAACAAACTAAAAAAATGAGCCAAGCCTCTCTGCCTTATTTCAACAAACTTCAGTGACACATCGTACCACGGTCGCGACACCAACAGAGAATGTTTGTCATGGATTATCCTGTTACTCTGGATCTTTACTGAAAAAGCAGCAAGTCCAGCAGCATCTGCAAACCAATGTGAAACATTATATTGACTTTAAGCACAGTCAGACTTTGTAATTATTGATTAAATTAGTGACTGAAGATTAGATTAACTCATTACCAAAGGGTAAGACTTGGAGCAAACAGCCACAAGCATTTCTATAAAGGTAAAACATATATGAGCATTCACTAATTTGGGTTGTCTTACTATTCAGTTCAGTTAAGGTTTATTTACATCAGGGGTCTCAAACGTTCGGCCCACGTCACCTACTTGCGGCCGTATATTGACGTGAAGAACTATAAAGCAATTTGGCCTTTGATGTTACATTTTTGTTAGAGAGGATGTGTTTGTTGCTGAGTGCAGCGTTAAAATAAGTTCTTTAAAAAGCAAAAAATGATTTATTAGGAAGGCAATATGAGCAGAGAGCAGAAACATGTTGAGGGATTGGTACTACTTGAACACTAAAGTGGCCTCATGTGAGATGACAGTGCCAGCAGAGGCCCCACAGCTTGAGTTTGAGACCCCTGATTTACATGGTGCCAAATCACAACAACAGTCACCTCAAGGTGGTTTATACTGTAAGGTAAAGTCCCTACAGTATTTAGAAGGAAACCTTAACAATCCAACGACCCCCTGTGAGCAAGGACTTTGTGACGGTGGGATAAAAAAAAAAAAAATCTCCCTTTTAACAGGAAGAAACCTCCAGCAGAACCAGGCTCAGGGAGGGGCGGGGCCATCTGCTGCTACTAGTTGGAGGGTGATGGGAAAGAGAAAAGAAAGAAAAGAACTTTCAGAAACAGGACAAAACACAGACTAAGGGAAAGAATGTAATTACATGTTTGCAGTGGTATATACAAACACATGGTGAATGGTTCACTGCTTAATGGTTTCCTACCATGTTTTTGTCTATGTGATTACAAGTCATCTGTGATTAAGTAGCAGCATACACACAGTAATTTACTTATCAGTAAAAGTGACGTGACTGAGGCTGAAAGCAGAGGTTCTACAGAAAAATAGATAAATAAATAAAATAGAAAAATGCTTTGCCTCACAAACGCTCGAGCTTCTATCACTGGTAAAAACAGATTCCTTAGCTGCTCAATGGTTATAAACTTTAGTGTATTAAACGATTCATTTTGCAACCTGTTTGTGGCATTAACCACTCTCAGCGTTGCTCAATTTATATTTTTTTGTAGATATTTTTAGGTCGTTGTAGGACAATGTCTCACTGATAATTACACTACATTTCCTAGGAGCATCTCTCAGATTAAGTAAAATTAACCCATTTAAAAATGTTGAGGTTAATCTGTTTGAACCAAAATACATACACAGGGTTAAATATCCTCAGAGAAGTCTTTGTCTACGGTTTAATCAGATCAGAATCTGTAATGAAACTCCTCCTTAAGTATCACAGGGTTTTTCTAATGGATGTTATGTGACTCTTCTGACGTCCCTACAGATATCTGAAAGAGTGAGAGGCATTTTGTCTGCACCAGGTGGATGTTATCAAGAAGCCCCACCGCCTCGCTGGACTGCAGCTCACGTGTCACGCTATCTCTGCATTTCTTCCCTAAGAACAACCACCCACACGCTTGAAAGTTTGTTTTGACTGTAAAATGTACAATTACCCAAACAGAGGAAATGACTGTTTATGTCTGTTTTCATTTATTTGCTAATGGCTGTGTCCTCTTTAAGCCGAATGTTAGCATACAGCTAACACACAGCTTAGCGCTAATAACATCTATTTCAATATCTAGTGCAACAGCCTTTTGAAAATTTAATTATTTACTAATTTTTTATTCTTTTTTTTTCAAGTAACAGCATCCTCCATAAAGAGGATTCTAAATTCTAAAAGAACACATTTTATATGATGTCTGCTTTGGATACATTTTAATGATTATGTTCACAAGACTAAAAGAACTTCTCCTTGTTCGCGTTTTGGTTTTTAAAGCGTAACATTTATTGATACACTGGTTTGGCCTTGACAGCAGCAACTCAGAGCAGAAAATGAAGGCATTTACTCAACAACAACCTCAGCTCTTTGGTTTTGGCTGACAGCCCGTATCTTGATAAAATCCAGACACATAAACACAGCCCCAAGGAGGTTTTTTTTTCCTGTTGTTAATATCGAGACTGACAGAAATTGTGTTTAACAGTGTTTTGTCTAAAAGATACGTGGGCGACAACATCTGTTGTTGATCTCCATCTCTATTTTAGTCACGTTTGTAGTGGACAATAGAATTTCACTTTGACGAACTGTGAGTGGAAAACTCACCAATAACACACACGCAGTGTATCCTCTGTTCAGCACTTACCGCATATTTAAAGGAGAGATTGTACTCGCGGTCGTTTGCTCTGATTTTCCTTTCCAGCTCTGCAAAAGAAAAGACAAAAATGAAAAAACAAAAAGCACGACCATAATTGATTTGTATCTAAATATTTTTTTTAACTGCGAGTAGATTTTTATCTTTTTCTGGCATGAAAAAATAAAAAACTGTGTAGAAACTATAAATGCTATAAATTTGTGAAACGCAAATAGCAGTGATTTTTTCCCCCCACTAGTATTTTGACTTGTCAACAATGCAATAGGGCCTTGTTTAATGATACACTGCTTTAGTGCCAAATTTAGAAATTCTTTCAAATCCAGTTATACAGTATAACTTGTTATAGAAAAACTAACTTTTATGCCCTCTTTTTTACCCCTGTTCCGTTTGTTATGATGAACGCCTGTAAAATTGGAGGCAGGTGCTTTGGAGTCTGACCTGAACCCCACTGGAACCTATTTTATGCTGAATTGGTGCTTTTGGTGGTGCAACACCAGTTCTGTCCTCATGCCATAATGGAACCAGTCCATATTTCAACAGGTTTGCAGCATTTTATAGCATCTCCTAATCTTTGCTAATTTAGGAGGGGAAAAAATAGCAAACTGAATCTGTGAGCTGCCTCCACCCAGTCTTCTGTTTGCTTGTCAATAACCCAGCTTCCTTTCAGTCTGCCCCGAAGCCAAGCTAATTGAATAAACAGTCTCGGGACCTGTTTATCTGCCTCAATGACTCAATTAGGGTTCACCAGAACGATCTGCTGTAAAGCAAGTTCGACATAGCTGGGCTATTTTTGAGTTTGCTGGCTCGAGTATGCAATAGTAGTTATCAATTTCTTAGTAAATCCAGGCTTTCTGCTTCAGGCTGTGGGCACACTAATGTGCAATATTAATGTCTATATTCCACATTTGTCCACACAGTCTACCACTTTGTGTCTTCCTTTTATATTTTATTTTCCCTTGCTGTAAGAGCTGTAACACCGAAATTTCTCATTCCTGGGATAATAAAGGTTTATTCTATTGTATTCTACTCTATGCCAAAGAAATTTTTTGTACTGAAAACATGTATAGAAATTTATTAGTGAAAATGCATTTTAAAGTGAAACCTTCAACCTAACTCCAGTATCATTTGTGAGACTGAAATCTCTGGCTTTTGGCTTAACGTACCTCACTAACCCGTTACTCTTGCTTCCCTGACACTAACAAAAACAATCCCAGGTCATCAGCTGAAGTTCTGGAGCTTTCACTTACTGCCAAGTTTTTCGCTGTTGATGAAATAAAGTTGCTGTTGAAATGTTGTCAAGCACTGTATATAAAACAACAATAATGTTTAGAACTCTAAATATTAGAATTATTTAAACGCCATTATAAAAACATTAAATCTGCAGGGGAAGTTCTTCCAAAGCTTTAGGCTGAGACTGTTTTTCATTTTATTTTTTCAGTAATGTCAGTAGTGAAAATACAGACGGTAAATATTATGGCGATCTGCTGATATTAATAAACTAAACCTGCTCAAACCTTACCCCTCTCTTTCTTCCTGACACAGTCCAGCCCAAAGAATGACATCTTCTTTTCCTCTTCTTCCTCCTCCTGCTATCTGCCCATCATACCGATCTGTTAAGATCAAGAGAAATCGTCATAATGTGGCTTAACAAAAGATACAAATGAGTCACTAATTATCTCCCTTACAGGGAAGTAAATTCACTCTCGAATATATTACTGCCTTTCTCCTGGAAACTAAGAGTTGAAACGTCAGTGCTGTTAAAGTAGGAATTGCTGCCAGCCGTCATTAGAGCATTTTCCCGTAATGTGCTCTATGAGGTAATCGTTCCTCAAAATGCCCTTTAAAAGGCATTTTGTTTCTTACCGGAAACAATTTTCAGGCCAGGGAGAAAAGGTTTAGACATCTAAATGGAAGGTGTGTTAGGAAATGGTTACGATATAGGGGAAAAAAACTGAAAAAACACAGCTCTTAGGCTATCTAATGAAGGAAAAGACGTCTTTTTTGTGCCAAAACCCCTTGCTCTAGGTCTACATCAGGCCTCTTCATACGTTTCCCATGCTGGACAGCTTGACTCAGGGGGACACTCCCCTCTTACGCCACAAATCCACTTCTTCTTTTCTCATTCAGGGCAGGAAGAGGGCAGAGCCAGGAGCAACATCTGGACGTGGTATCTGTCTCCGCCAAGTGAGGAACACCATGTGTAGCTGTTAATGCCAAATGCCGAACCTAACCACATGGATTATGTAAGAGGATACGCAAATCCCTTTAAACCAGTAACTTGTCAAAATGGATTTAGTGCAAAATAAATAGACAAATTTTATATGCAACAAGAATGATATGTCATTACTAAATCATAGAAATTTATGTAGATTTAAAAAGGGTTTGCTTCTACGACAAAAAGGTGTTTGTAATTCTGGTGGGAGCAGATGGCACAATTTTAAACTCACTGAAAGAAAATTATTATTAGGATTTAATATTATTTAAGAATTTGATCAACAGCAAATGCGTAAAACTCTAATGTTTCAATAAATTTAACATCCCAAATTGAATTGCAAACTTGTAAGAGAGACCCATGATTACAGAAGTCGAGATTATTACCTCTACCAAAGAGCTGAGGTTAGGGTTGGTCGGTTAGTTGGTTGGGTTAGGGTATGGGTAAAACACTGGAGATTTTTCAATAAATTTAACATCCCCAAACTAATTGCAAATTTATAAGAGAGAATCATGATTACAGAAGTCAAGATTATTACCTCTGCCAAAGAGGTGGGGTAAGGGTTGATTGGTTGGTTTGAACTAGAGCCTTGGCCCATCTCAGGAGTAATTAACTTTTAAAGTCGATCTTGATCTAGATTCTAGGTCAGGAACTCTAGATCCAGAACTAGATCCAGGAAGGTTTGGAAAACTTTTATTACCGTGGCAAGGTAATGAAAAATTTTCCATCAAATCCTTAGAAATAAATATTAAAGAAAAATAGTAACAAGAGCACAACATTTAAATGGAATAGTATCGCATTTTGTATATATTCATTTTGTTTTCTTTGTTCTTTTGAAACATGCTTAAAAAGTTTATAATGCAGTAAAAATACAGCATTTTGGGGTCAACTTGAAAGAAAAACAGATGTGAAATGCAAAAGTTAGAACTGTGAAATCTGTAATGTGATATTTAGAGTCCCGTTTTGCAAGTATCGTGTCCCAAATTTTGCCAATACAAACAAATGCAATAGAACTTTAAGTGTGGTTTTAAAGACAAAAGTTTGACCTTATTTGACTTTAAAGAGGCAGTCATAGGTCCAAAGTAGTGTGATATTTAGAACCTCCATTTATCATTTCCTGACATTCCCCGCTAACATTTTTTCTAAATATTGTTTGATGTGACATTTAAACTCTCAAAATGCTGAAACATTCTTAAAAAGACAGGATTTTAAACAAACAACTTGATGCAAGTTAAAAAATGTTATGTGGAAACATCTCATACAGTTGAAGGAACCATAATGTCAGTTACACAGGAAATTATGCAACTTCATTTCTATAAGCAGCAGTAGGAATCATAGAGACAGTCATGATGACTGTTATCAGCTATCTCACAGCCTTGCTTATGGCAGAGCTGGTGTTTGTCAAAAGCAAGGCGGCATTTGTCAGAAAGGTTTTGCTTTTTCCTCTCTTCTCAATGTGGGACTGCATTGCAGTGAGGATGTTGTGTTTTAATGCACTGAATAAGAAAAAAATCTGCTAATGTTAAAAAGCAAATATATAGCTTGTTGTGTAGTGTTGACGTGCGACAGCGACAAGACTGACACACCCACACATAAAATCCCCCAAACATTTAGCAGGTTCAAGAAATGTACAAGAACAGAGCATAAATGTGGTTATGAGAGAGAAGCAAGCGTGTGTCACAAAAGTAGTTGTGGTTTTTGAATCCCGCCTCTCAGCTTTGGTTGCCAAGGTGACGTCAGCATTGGAGCTATAAATATCAACCATATGAGTTTGTTGAAGAATGTGAGGAAAGTATGGAAATACATACAGAACACACAAACACACACACAAAGACACTAATACAGTCGGGGTTGGGCAATTTAACATAACGAAATACAGTGTTCACATGTTTTTATTTTCTTAGCTAACGTAACATAAAAACCATTTGTAAACTATTTATTCACCTCTCTTATTATCACAGGATTTTCTGTAGTGTTAACAATCACAAGATTGTGATTGTTGTTGCTAGTAACATTGTCTCAGTGTGACCCCTCTGACCAAAGTTCTTCACAAATGATGGTGTCAGGAAGTGACTGATGTGCAAAACTATCTTGATTTCAGTTTTGATCAGATAGCCGCCCATCAATGACTTCAGCAGCATGCATGCTGGGAAATATATGAAAAGTCAAAAAAAACAAACAAAAAAAACAAAAAACAAACAAACATCCACCGGATACTTATGCAATGCATTGTGAAACATACTTTCATCTCCAAGCATCGCACGCTGACGCTTTGTTTGAGACATCGCAACAAAAAGCATCAGACGTCCTTCGGCTTTGTTGATTCGTAGCATCGTGAGAAGCAATATTTGATGCTGTGAGCTAATGGTCTGTTTTAAGAAGCCAGGGCCTCCGTTTTCACACAGTTTTGGAGTTTTGTGTTCAGACTTTGTTTTAGGATACTTTTAATTTTGCTTTTGCTCGCTGGTTACAGTTACGTGCCTAAAGCGGCTCGGTGTTAGTGCAAAGCAGTCTGGGTTAATCTACTCCCCTTTATCAAGATTACCCTGCAGATTAATGTTGCACATTTTAATTGCGATGTCCTTAAAAATGTTCGTATGTGACAAGTCTCATGACCCTGAGGTGATATCGATAAAACAGAATTATTCAAATGAGAGTGGGGTAGAAAGACGAAATTAGACAATGAAACTATTTGGACGATCTTAAATCTGAATGTTTTCACATGAGGCTGTTTTTCCCACTCTACATTTGGATGGTCTCCTAGGCTGGTTAATTTGTCATCCATCTAAGACAAAAACATGGCTGATTTACTACTGGTAAATCCCTTTGCTCTCACTATGAAAATCTGGTCACTGCTGGGCTTCAGCGTCATTTAGCTGTCTCGAGTCTTGAGTCCCAGTGTCTGGCAAACTACCTCCATTAACTTGGACTGTAGCTCATGGTAATAGACCTTGTTCTGCTCTGTAGGTCCACTGCAACCCGGTGGATCACTCTAACCAGAACTTGATTCATTTTAGAAAGAGTAGTTGTGCCTCCTTCTACACACACAACCTTGCTACAACCACAAATGATATATCTAATTCTATGGAAAACATTGTGGTGCAGTACTCCAGCACCTAAATCTGAAAGGTCTGTTAATTCATACTTATTTAGATATTTGCAAAATAACAAGAAAACAGTGACATCCCACAGTCCGCCTAAACCAAGACATTCTTCTTTCTTTAGGCAGTCTGGGTCGGTTTAATCCAGGCTAAACTTGGTAGTTTATAGCAATGTGGTAATAATGCTCTGTAATGCAGTGGTACAGAGCAAGCTGTGGTTTTCATGGGAGATGTGAGGCACACCAAGGGTAGCAGACATTTATATTTTAGGTGATATTGATTAGTTTCGCTCACTGAATTCTATCTGTTATTCTAGCTTTAGGGATATCTTCAGTTTTGGAAATCATCCATGTAGCTTGTGACATATCTGGTTGTATCTTGTGGAAAACTCCACAAAGAGCAGTGAATCTCGGAATAGCAGCACAGGTGAATGGATCACAGCCTGTACACAAAGAACAAATGAATTATGTCACTTATTTATAAATAATTCTTTAACCCCACGGTGGACTGCTACGTTTGCCCAACTTCCAAATCCCACTTTAAACTCTGCTTATACTCTTCTTCTTCTTTTTTTTTAAAGAAGAATTTGATAGGAAATTTTATGGTGGAAATGGTGCACTGAAGTAAAAACTGGGTTTGACGCATTGCCCAACTAAAGTCAACAGAGCTTACTTGCTTTGTAATCAATGATAGATTACAAAACAACACTATCAGGACTCACTTTCACTGTGATAACAGACTAATTTTGTTTGATGGAACAAGTGAGGTTTCTAAGGAAACTTGTTATGTCATTATTTACACCAAAAAAAAATACCAGGAAGCCAGAGTTTCTCCACGTGTGCAGCTGTGAGAAACACAAACACTTATAATGTTCTCCCCTTAAATGTTCCAAAAGGTTGATTCTGCTCATCTGGATGTAATGTTTTCAGGGGGACAAACATTTTGTCACCCATCCAAGTGACTTCTTCAGTCTCAGCTGACTGCAGGTTTCCCCAACCTTAAAAAGTACATTTGCACAATAACTCAAACCAGCCTACTGAAGGAGCAATGTCTGTGAGGTCTGAGAAATGTTTCTCCCACTGAAAACGCTACATCCAGATGAACAACCTTTTGGGATTTACTTACTTGGATGATTGAGCATGCATCAAGACCCCTTAAATGCTGGAAAACAAACCCTCATTCATTCACTAAGTGACTCAGTTGAATAAAAAAAAAATCAGTCTATTCTGCAGACAAACACAGAAGTCATGTGGGTCGACAGCGAGACGCGTGTCCAGCCTGGTGAAAGTTTCATTTT